GACAACTTCATGCTTAGGGTTGTTTGGTCATTGTGGGTTTATGAATGCTAAATGACTACCAGTCATCCTAAACAACACACTCTCACTCCATAATCGTCCAGGAGCGACGTTTGGTCAGGGTCCCGTGGCGTGCAGTTGTGACGCTCCTAGGCTCCTTCAGCTTCATAAAGGGACGCAAATAGCTTTCAACTGATTGCAATGTATTCCCATCTGCGGCGGGATTTGACGCTCATGGAAGCACGGCATTCGTTTGTGTCGGCTGCCCTTAAAGGCAATGTGAGCGTCTATTCCCATTGGATAACGGAGAATTGTACACCCAGAAGTAAGTATTCCCCTTACTGTCGATTGATTTTACAGTGATATCTGCACTACTCATCGACTAAAAAACACCAGATTATCCTTGTTAATTACACAACATTGATTGGTTTAAATTGTGTGCAATGCTTTTGTATTTTTCCCCTTCGATTCGGAGAAACAAATATTTTTTCGGAGTAAAGGATGGCAGAATACACTACCAGAATCCCAAGCTATCATTTAGGACTACACCATGTGCTCTGTTTGACAAACCCCGTGATTAGTTCTCAAGCTCTGTGATTGGTTGACCTCCAACTGCATTCCATATGAAAAAAAACGTTTCATAAAAGATAAAATCACACTTTATTCAGCAGTGAATTGCTTGCTTTACTCTTTGAAAGTCATCACATGAATGCATTGTAATAAATGGTTCGGCTGCATTATATATTACACATCTGTCATAGTTCTTTATTTTTATTTATCTACAGAGATCGGGCTCAGAATAGACCGGAAACTATTCTTTTACCGTTCAGTTTGAATTTCACAATAAAGTTAGTTGTAATATTTTGTTTTGATATTATTGTTTTTTATTAACTACTAGACCGCTGGGTCATGTTAAGACCATCTTTTCTATGTTGCTGTGGGTTTTTTCCATCGCTTTTGTGTTACAAATATCAAAACAATAACTAAATATATCCGTCGTAAACTAAACCAGAAACAGCAGTATATTTTATTTTGTTAACACTGTAAACTTGACAGCTTTTTAACCCAAACCACCTACTGGTTAAAGCACGTTATTACATGTTTATAGTAATGCAATGCATGTACAGTGTGTTGCTTTTTAATGACTGTTTAAAATGCCTTTTTCTTAATGTCTTTTATTATTATTAACTAGCTGTTACTTGTTGCTAGGGACGCTGCTATCGATATTGTGCTTCGCAACATGTTCTCTATCTATGGCACGTCTACTGGGAGTTGTAGTTTTAAAAGACGTTTTCGTATTTCCCTTAATAAGAAGTTGCCAGTATACTGTGTACATCCCTGGAGGTTTAGGGGATAGGAAACACTCAAATTTAAAACATATAATTAATAAATGGGTGAAAATTACTTGTGCCCATAATGGGCATTACATTCATTGATAAGCCTAAAACATGCACTTGTCAAGGCTCAGAGAAACATTTTGCAAATATGGCAGTAGCCATCGATCATCTTAAGATAAGATATACTTTATTGATCCCAAGTTGGAAACATTTGCGTTACATCAGCATGTGTAACAGTTGTAAATATGCAGTGGTGTTTATTTGTAAATCATTTAGTATAATCACACACATTCTGTGTTTTATATTTAATAATTCTTTATTTATTGTTCAATACCTGACAAGGCCGGAGATGAAATATCTATATACATCCTATAAGAGTATAATACATATGTATAATATCAGTTAAAATAAGTGCTTCAACATAGTTAACATTGCTGGAGGTATGCACAAATATTGATAGATGTCTTGTAATGCACTATTGAGGAACCTGCGACCCAAGTTTTTCATTCATTGCATAACTACACCGTTTGTGAATATAATATTTCAATAAATCCTGGAAAATCTTGAAATCTTGAAAGGGATGTGAAAAATAGTAATTAACTATTAGTAGAGAATAACGAGTAATGAATATACTTTATAGGGATCCTATTAATATCTAAAAATAAAGAAATTCAATAACATGCTTTAACCACCAGGTGTCCCTTTCTATCAGCTGTGCACCTTTATGGTGTAAATACAGCCTATCTAC